CCACCTTCCAGTCATTCCCCCCCCCACCGCCAGGCTTCAGTCTGGCGCCCAGCTGGAAAACCAGGAAATACCAGACATTGCACATGTCCAGTATTTTCTGGATATATATATTTTTAAACACCCCCACCCCCACCAGACAGAGGGCCCAAAAACCAGACACCTGGCAACCCTATGAGTCAGACCTGGTGCAGGCACCAAGTGATGGGGAGACTGCCGGGACTCTGGGAACCAGAGACTGCGGGGTGGGGGTTTGTGGCCCAAAAAGGGGGCTGGGAAACCTAAGAGAGTAGGGGGAGCGCCAGAAGGGTGACAGTCAGGGCGATCCTAGAACTCTGTTACAGACCAGCTGGCGGCAGCTGCAGGAGAAGGGAAAAATAGGGGGAAGGGTCAGAGAGGAAGGGGCTTGTGCTGAGGGGAGGGGGGCAGGTCAGGAGAAGAAAGGCACCAAGGGACAGAATGGAGGAGAGAGAAATGCCAGGGGGCCAAGTGGAGACAATGGGGGAAGGGCAGGAGGGGAAGTGTCGGGGGGGAAAAAATGATGCTAGGAGAAAAGGGCTTTGGGGGCTAGGGGGGAGAAGGAGGGGTGGGCATGAGGAAGGCAGGGATGGAGCAAGGCATGTGTGGGGGCATGGGGGAAATGAGGGCAGAGGGTGGGCACCAGAGAAAGAGGACAAAGGGGAAAGAGGACAAAGGGGGCAGGGGCAGTGAGGGAAGGGGGGGCACCAGGAGGGTGCAGGGGTAAGGGAAGGTGCAGGTGCCAGAGGATTCTGGGGGTGAAGCAGAAGGGCAGACACCTGCAGGGGAGGGACCAGCACCAGTGGAGAGAGGCAGGGCAGGTGTGTATTTGGAGGTGTTAGGAGAGGGGATGAGGAGGGGAGGGGGAGAAGAGAGAAGGGCTGGTGGAGAGGGGCAGGTCTCAGGAAGGCTGAGGGCAGTGAGAAGGGCAGGAGGCAGGACAGCAGAGGAGGGGGAGGAGTTGGGGGACAGCAGCCCCGCCGGCGCTCCCAGCGCAATGCTGGGATGT